CCGAAAGACCCCGAGTGATGGGTAGTGAGCCGTCGGAAGTCGGATTAGGCGAAGGCCCTATGGTGAAGGCCAAATTACACCGACGAACAATAACGAATAAGCGAATGAGAGTAATGTAACAGCTCATGCTCGTTACAGTGTACCCTTGCCCTAAGAGGCCCCTTCCCAACCTACACTGGCGCCCCGAGGAGGGGTTCGCATTCAAGAGGGGGGGAATGCAAGGACGTTAGGCCCATTGGCCGCTCGTCCGAATCGAGTATTCTCTAACTGACGCCAAAGGTGTTTCTTGTACGATAGGGCCTTATGGCACTAGCGTCCAACTCAGTTAACATACTGATCTTTACCTAAAAACGGTATTCTTCAATACCACCAAATTGTGGACTTCTAACTCCTTGAGTTAGTAAGTATACGACGCGGCACCCTGTAGGGACCTAGCATCGTTACAGATCCTCACAGCAGCCAATCTGGCCACCGCACGCCCGCGAAGTTCACACGCATGTGCGTATTCCACCACCGCTCCTACCTTTTGAGGGCTGCCCTTTGCGCGGCCAAGCGCGACCTTTGCATTTTGGATATGAAATGGAATGAGTATTCATTCTAGTCGCTCGTCATGGCTCGTCCATGCATCACGTTGGCGTGCCCGTCACCGGGCACCCTAAGTATTTAGAGTCTCTTTGTTGAACTCGTGTACCATGGCCAGAAACGGTGCAGACGGACACCGCACAGCTAAAGGTTCCAAATGTCATTTGATGCCACAGCTTGGCGTAGCGGTCAGTGCGCGGCTGAAGTATTTACCAAGATCGCACTTTTTTGCAAGTCTCGTACCGTCGCAAGAAACTGTCGTGACAATCAAGTGCAACCTCAAGGTCCGAATTGTCATGCCATGTCATTGGTTTACAGGCAAATATGGGGGCCCTGGTGAAGCAGCTGCCCGCGTTATAGATGTGGAAGGTGCCGAAGTACGTCGGTGACACATAATGTGGCAGGAGTAGAGAGAATAGTGCAGCGGTAGATTGTGAGTGTAGTTGAAGGGTTACAAGGCGTTCGGCGCACGGGCGAGTTTACTTTCATCGTGGGCGCGTCACGTTGCAAGCTAAGCAACGCGTATACATGACGTGTAGCATCAGTCCTCAGTTCACTTCTTGTAACGAACATCAGCATAGTTCCAAGCCCACTCGCTTGGAGGGATACGCAATCAAACATCCCGATAGGTAAACTCGCACAATGCACTACCGTGCATTAAACCGAGCACGCTACGAGCAGTCCTTGAAAGGAGCAGCATACCACCCACGGCCGTATGCACAGCAAAAAGCTGTTCCAAGCCATCAGCGGCGTCCATGTCACCCACACGGCTCTGAACGACTTATCTGTTCTTTTAGTTAATTTTGTGTATGTTATATTGTTTGCGTCAGTTTGTAATTTGACATTAGTCGGAACAGGGTCCTGTATGCGTTGCGCTACCAAAAGCAGGCGCCTTTCCTTTTGCAAAAGTGCCGCTTCGCCAGACGCTTCCTCTTCCCGCGGCCGTTTCATGACCCCGTCTTGCAAGCAAAGTTGTAAGCTTCCAGTTACGTCATAACAGCCACCCATTCATCCGGGCCTGCTTGCCGCGTGCGACTGTGGCCAACATGCCCTACTGCGCAGCGCGCTGGCACACCGCGGCCTTTCGCCGAAATAATTACATACACTTGTACACGCGCATTTCGAGAATCGCACGCGTGCATCTGCGCGATAAATTTCGCGCCTGGCTTTTGGGGCGTCTTGTACGAACGGTTTATTCGGCACAGTACGACCGGACACACTTGTGCGAGGGGCTGCTTATCATAAATACGTCTTCCATGGATACTTGTTATGGGCGATGCCTCAAAGTTTTGCTGTACTTTTGAGAGCTGTGAATGGACATAGCTTCGTTGGGCTAAAGGGGTGTTCAAATCGTAGGGAGCGTTCATTCTGCACTCCCTTCATTATGTAACGAATGGGTCTTCATTCCAAAATGATATAGGTCCTCGATTTGGGTTGTGGAATGAAGGGCCAAAATGAAGGGCCAAAATGAATATGAACGACGCGCGACCACCAGCATCTCGAGAGGCCTTTTCAGCGGCCAGCTGCTACAATACACTAGTAAGCCTGTCTCACCAAAGCATTCCGGCTGACATTCACTACATGACCAACAAGGCCAGATGGCCGGATGGTCCGAATCCCAGCCTTACTTAACTTGGTCCCGAACCAAAACGCTTGCAGCAACTGCCAGCCGCACATGCATATCCCAATACATGTATCCGCCTCCAGACCTGATCTCGTCCGTGACGGCAATCCAAAACTGTATCTATGTGACATAATAGCTAATAGCCATAATCAATCCGAGTGGTCCCAGGGCTCACACAGAAGCAGTGAGCCTCTGAGTGCTTTCAACTGGTAGCACTCAAGAGGTGCACTGCTCTTGTGTGAAGCCGATCAACCTCCTTGAGGCAGAATCATATTGCATGGACGATCCTTTCGGATCTGCTTTAATATGATTCGTCCGCAGGAAACGAAACAGCATTTTTAAACCCAACATAAATATCTTAGGAGGAGGAGGATGCAGAGGAGGAGGATGGGACTATCCATCTGTCCATCTATCCACCTGATCAGGCGGCAAAAACATGGTCAAGGGCGACGCGGAAGCACCTGGCCCGCCGCCTGCATGCCGCCAATGTACGGCAAGCTGTTATTGACGTACATCTCGACTGTACGGCTGATGAAGTCCACGACATAGCTAGCGGCCATGTGCTGAACAGGACGTGTGGCCACATCAGACCCCTCGGCGGCGATCTGCTGGAGTGTTGCCAAGTCGGCATGGAGCTGCGACTGCAGACTGGCACTGTAGTTTCCCCAGGTGGCGGAATCCAGCACCGCGGCGGCATTGGTTTTATTGAGCAGCAAGTCCAACCTGGTTGTGGATTGGATCAGCAACGCCGCCAAGTAGCAGAACAGCAGCTAATAAATTTATTGAATGTACATCTCGGATAGCAGATCAAGTAATCTATAGGTTCTGGGACGTGAAGCGGACGTGAAGCCACGACACCTGTTATCTCCATCAGAGCGGCAGATGTGCAGACATGAAATGCAAGGATCTGCAGCTGCCCCGTACTGGGCCTCTGACCGCATCCTTTCCCTCTGCCCCCCCCAGCCATCATGGTCATTCACCTTGCGGGCTCACCAGCATTATCAGCATTACCAGCAGCATCAGCAGCACATACCAGTAGCAGCACCAGCAGCATTTGCCTACCAAACAATGCCTCGATCCCTTACCTGCTCGCCAGTGCCGACAGATGTGTCTGGTAGGTCTCAATGTCGCGGCTCTGCGTGATGGACGGCGCGTATGCCCCCGCCGCGAACAGTGCTGCGGACATCAATGCTGTCAGCAGCAAGGTGACCACCCAGCCTGCGAAGAACTGCGCCGCCAGAGACCAGTTCAGTCCGGCAGAACCTTCCAGAAGCCCCATGCCCGCAGTGGCGCCCACCTGCAGCCGATCCCAAGGTAGCACAAGGGATGATAAGAAGAAAGAGAAGACGGGTACATGTACAAAAAAGGTACCATGTGTGAATATTTTTTCGAAAAATGAAGCAGGAAGAAGGGAGAACAAAGAAACTACGGCAGTTGCAGTCCCAAAGCAGGTGCTACAGCGGGTACATAGGTACCATGCAGTGTACTTAACTATTCACGCGCACCTGGCAATGTGTGGTGGATATTGGCAAGCCGTACTTAGACGCCAGCACCACCACCAGAGCGGTGGACAGCTCGATACAGAAGCCCCGAGAAGGTGTCACCGCAGACAGTCTCACACCAATGGCGCGAATGATGTTGTAACCTGGTCGCAAAACGGGAAGCCAGTACAGCAGTAGTGGCCAGACAGGGGCCATGTTTGCTTGGGGTTTGAGGGTTTGGGGGTTGCTGCGGATGACGATGTCTTGGTGCAGGTGTTTTTCAGCTTACATGTTGATTGGCGTGCTGCTGCTGACGGTGTTGGTTTTTAGGGTTGGTGGTATCGCCTGACTGTCGGCCAGCTTTGCTGATGGGCGGTAGTAAAATGACAGGCAAGAGAGATGTATGAATCCCTTCTGGGACATGGGTGAGTGGCCACAACGATGCAAAAGATGCCGTGGCCGCTGTACACTGGCGGATCGACTCTTCAATGGGCCCCACCGCCCCTCGCAGCGATTAGCTCCCTGCAGCTTAGCCCAGACCATCTCTGTAATCACTTACTAATCCGCTTACCGTATGTGGCCAGTCCCACCACAATGCCAGCCCCGCCTATTACCAGCACCCACAGGGGGACAGTGGAGTCGTAGTCCACCTGCATGTGTTCGTGTTCACGCAGGAAGAGGGGTTGCAACGGATCGCCAGGAGGGCTTTAACAGTGGCAGTGGTGAGGGCAAGCAAGCACACAGAGCAGGAGCCCCTTGAGGAGGGACCCTAGGGAGCTTACGTAGGTAGGTAGGTAGGTGGGTAGGTAGGTAGGTAGGTAGGTAGGTAGGTAGGTAGGTAGGTAGGTAGGTAGGTAGGTAGGTAGGTAGGTAGGTAGGTAGGTAGGTAGGTAGGTAGGTAAGTAGGTGGGTAAGTAGGTGGGTAGGTAAGGTAGGTAAGTAGGTGGGTAAGTAGGTGGGTAGGTAAGGTAGGTAAGTAGGTACTTTAGGTAGGTACTTTAGGTAGGTAGGTAGGTAGGTAGGTAGCTGCAGCTTCACAGAGAAACATCAGCCGCTGCCGTCACCACCAGGATCCAAGTTCCAAACAACACCGGAGCATGCCAGCGGAAAAAACTGATCATCAAGTCAGGTCAGGTCGGGCCATGCTGTAATGTTTTTATCATAGTTATTAGATAATTGTTTTATGCTTTAGCAAATACGTAGCAAATACGAAGAGGCCACCATTACCTCACCCGCCGGTATCGGTAGATTTGCCAGATGGCCGCCAAGGGCCCCACCGAGTTGGCGACATCATTGGCGCCGTGGCTGAACGAGTCGCAAATGGCGGTCACCACCTAGCCCGGTACCGTCAGTCCAGCACAGGGGGTTGAGTAAGGACCCGCACAAGTAGGAAAGGACGGAAGGAAGACCGAGAGAGGCACATGCAGCCCGAGGGCTAACTTAAAATAGAGTGAAACGTTCAAGTAAGGTTCATGGCGAATAAAGGTATGTAAGGCATAAAAGAAGATGGAACGGGAGCTGCAAAATGAAGGTTAAAAATGTTCAATGCGAGCGAGTACGGCACGTGTGTTGCCGTACTCGCTCGCATTGAACCCGCACGTGTGTGGTGCCGTACTCCCAGCGGTCATTGCAGCCCCTCCCATGTAGGCGTGAAGTCGAGTCGAACGAGCTAGGAGAGCAAATTCCTGACAGTGTAGCATACACACAACACACACACTACACACACTACACACACTACACACACACACACACTACACACACACACACACCTGCAAGTACTTGAATGCGTGTTCTGTTGACGGGTCGAACACTTCGGCGTGTGCATGTATGGCCGCCGCCACGGGATCCAACCCCAGCTCCACACAGTCATGTACGTTGACATCCGTGCCACGCAGTACGATATCCTGTGCCGTTGGGATACAGAACAAATACCTCTTTCCACGAAAGAGAGAGAGCAGCAGGAGCTCTGGCACATTCATATCACCACTTCACCGACCGACCAAGAAACCCGTCAGGTCTTGAAGGTCGGCTGAATGTACCCCATCATCAACGCTCGCGCTTCATTCTTACGCACCTTCAACTGGTCAAACGTTTTTTGAAATTGCGCGTTGTTGCTGCTGTGCCCACCCCCCGCCTGCTGTTGCTGCTGCTGTGCACGGTGGTGCTCCCCTGCAAAGGACTGCTCCTGATCCGTACTACTGCTGCTAAGGCTGCTGCTGGTCTCAGAGGCCCCTAAGGTTTCTGGATCCCCCGGCGCCGGAATTGGCATTCCTCCACCGGCCGCCCGCACGGGCGCTGCAGCGGTGGTTGCGTCAGCCGCAGCTGTCCCGGGAGTGGACGTCACGGCGGCGGCGGCAGTGACGGAGCCGCCTCCACCTCTGCCTCCGCTGCGCTCAGCAGGCTCAAACTGGTGACGGTATGATCCAGAGCTGTGCCCGCGTTCCTCCCCATCGTCCTCAATACCCTCAGCTATGGGCCGACCCGCCGTACAGTCTGTCGTACGCCCAACAGCAATAGCCCCTGCCGCAGGAGCAGCAGAAGGAGCATGGGTGACCCAATGCCCCGGAGCACCAGCAGCACCGGCTGTGACACCGTCGCCGCCCTGAAAGTCGGGACTTGTTGCCATGGCTTGCTGCTGTTGCTGTCGTAGAGACCACTGCTGCTGCTGCTGCATGTACGCCTGCCAAACTTGCTGTTGCTGCTCCTGCTGCTGTTGGTAATGTTGTAGTTGTTGCTGCTGCAGTTGTTGGCCCCACATCTGCTGCTGCTGCTGGATTTGTTGGAGATGTTGCAGTTGTTGCATCTGCCACATCATCTGCTGCTGCATTTGTAACTGACCGTGCTGCTGCATCTGCATTTGCAGCATCTGCTCGCAGGAGGCGCCCTGGTGCTGTTGCTGCTGCTGCTGCTCCTGCATCTGTACCATCTGCGGCTGCAGCTGCAGTACCTGCTGTTGCTGCTGCTGCTGCTGCTCCTGCATTTGTACCATCTGCGGCTGCACCTGCAGTACCTGCTGTTGCTGCTGCTGCTGCTCCTGCTGTTGCTGCTGCTGCAGATGTTGCAGTTGCAGCTGTTGTTGATGTTGCTGCCATTGCCTTCCGAGGTACGTGGACGTTTGGACCGTTGGCTGCAGGTACTGTTGTTGGGGTTCTGGTTGCCCTGCCAGTTGTTGCTGCATCCACCACTCTGACAGCAACTGCTGCTGGAATTGCCAATGCTGCTGGTGCTGCTGTTGGCTGTGAAATGGCCGCGGTTGCTGCTGCTGCTGTCCATTGCCTTCCGCTTCGTCCTCCGCCTCCTCCTCCCCTTCCGCTCTGCCCTTCTCCTCCTCCTCTCCCGCCTCCTTTTCCTGCTGCATCGGTAGTGCGCGGTGCTGCCCGGCCACCTCAGGCCCCATGGCGCCCGAGTCCCGCGAAACATGCCCCTCGTACTGCTGCTGCTGCGGTACCGTATAGTCGCCAAGTTCACCAGGGACAGGAACGCTGAGATCCGGTGTAGGGGTGGGGAGGTCTCCCACCAGGGGAGTGAATCTGGAGTTGCTTGGTCGTGCGCGTTGCGGAGATGATGATGGCGATGATGTGGTGGCAGCAGCGGCAGCGGCAGCAGTAGTCGTGGAGGTGGCGCGCAACAAGCGCACAGCACTGGGCACATGTAGCGCCACAACAGGCCCGACAGGACCCGCAGCTGCGACAGCGGCAGCGCCAGAGGGTGCCTCAGACTGTAACGGCGGCTGCACGGACGGCTCCCTGGCGCCGTACACTGAAGACTCTGGAACGCTCTCCAGGGGCAGGGAGCCACCCCGGTTCACCAGTGGCGGCGGAGACTGAGTGGTGTGCGCTGACAGCTGCGGCGGCGGTTGAGGTGTCGGCAGCGGAATTTGGGCAGTTGCCATTTCTGACGCCGCCGGAGCCACCGTGTCTGGCGTCCCACTTCCTTGCCTACTCGATTGAGACGCTTCACTGAATCGCGCTGTACTGCGGCTAAAGCTGCGAGTGCCGTACCCTGTACGGCCCGCTGCCACGTGGCCCCGTGCGTCGACAAAAGCGGCACCCGGCGCCACGGCGGGGAGAACAGACAGACCTGCCGTCATGCCCCGGCCAGCGCCGGCGCGCCAGGGACCATTGCCACCGCCGCCACCGCCGCCCCCGCTACCGCCACCGCCTCCGCCAGCCTGGCTGTTCCGGGCTACTGACATGCGCGGCAGTGCCCCCGTCGTGGGTGCGGAGGGCGAGCTTGGCCGAGTGCCCGTAAGCTCCAACCGACTTGAGCTGTTCAAGGACCTGCAACGAACCCACCAACCCATTAACCAAACCGACAACCAACTAATCGTTGCAGGGCGTACGCAGAGGAGAGGGGGTGAGGGTCCCGCGTGAGGGCAACCCCCTGACGATGACGATGACAATAACGACGACAACAGGAAAAAACGAGGGAGACCCTCGAACACCCAACAGCCGACATCCCAGCCGCCCACCTGGCCTGCGCCGCCGCTTCCACGTGTCTCTTCATGTACGGCACTCCCAGCAGCCCCGTCACCAGCGCGCAGCCCCCGGCCGCCACCGAGCTCACCCAGGCGCACCTCTGGGAGGTCCAGGCTAGCCGGGCCTCGGAGCCCTGAGTGGCCGGTGGGGGGTGGGGGCGTGTGGATTGGGGGCCCGGTGGCACCATTTGCGTGTGTGAGGGGGCGGTTAGTGGCATTGTTGTGGCGCTTGGAAAGGATTGAATATAGTGGCGGCATGTATGTATGTATGACTTAGATTACACTGTGGGCCGCGAGAGCCAGGGGCTGAAGCCGAAACACAGCGCAAGGGTCGGGAGCACACAGCACAAGTCGGTTAGTCTTGTGTGCTCCCGACCCCGACTCAGACTGCCAACACTCTACACAGCCACTCTGCAGCCCCTCCATCCGGGGATGGCGCTGCAGTGAATACATCACGAAGGGCTCTCAGGTCCCGCTAGAGTGAATCCACAAATCTCAGCTAGGCAAAGTCAAAGGCTCTCTGAAACAACCACAACACAACCAACGACAAAGGGATTCCAAGGGGAAAAAAACAATAAAAAGACGGTTAGGGCAGCCCAGGCAGGGGAGACAAAAAACCTCCAAGAGAGAAAGGCTAAGAGAGCTCGACACCACAAGATGTCTTGCAGCCACCTTACAACAACTGGCCTTCTCTACCTCTCCCTTCTTGGGCTGGTCCAGGGGAGAAGTAACCAACCAAAAAAAAGGACCACACACAAGCCCGATCACCACTGCAGGAGCCCGGGATAGACCGGCAAGGCCACAAAAGCGATAGCATTGCCACGACACACAGCTCCTAGACCCTCCAAAATACCGCATGGGGAGGATTGTAGCCCGCGCGGCGCCTCCCCCTTACCAAGTTACAAGTTACAAGTTCCGCACACAAGTGCGGGTGTGTCCGTAAAAGCCGGGGGCCATGGATGTTGTATTGGTATTGATGCGGGTACGCGGGAGGTCATCCTTACCGTCACTAAACCGGAACGGTTGGTCCTCCAGAACATACTCACCCTGCCTCGTACGGCACCGCTCTCACCCTCGTCCTTCACCAAGCAACCCAGTCCCGTAGAGAAGACGTACCTAAGTAGAATGGCCCTCCTAGGGCCACAACTCCCTGTTTTAAAACCCTAAGTATGTATGTATGTGCGGTAAACGGCGGCAGTGATGTACATTACTGCATGGCGGGAGGGCACGAAGCTGAGAACCTATTTCTTCCCCCCACCCCTCACACACCCACAACAAGTGACCAAGTAGGGCCGAGGAGCCCGTACCCACCCCACACCCCCACACCTTGTACAAGACGAAGAAGAGATTGATGAAGACGGTGACCAGTACCAGTACCGGCAGGGACTACGGGCAGGGGCAAGGAGGGCGAGATGGGGAGAGAGGGACCCGAGATCTCTCAGCGGGACAAAGAGGAGCCGGTGGCGAATAACGTAAGTAAAGTGGAAACAGCAGACAGGGCCGCAGTTGCTCTGGTGGCGCAAGACCCCCCCCTCCCCTCCCGCACAACCCCGGACACCCTTCACACCCCACGCACAAGCCCACCCCACCCCAGCCCCGGCTCTCACCCATATCGCCAGCTCCAGGCTGCGGACCCGGCGAAGTACGGCGGCGCGGACGATCACGAACAGCACCACGGAGGCTAAACCCGACATAAGGGGGCTGGTGAACCAGCTGGGGGAAGGGGGGAGAAGGCTATGTGTGTATGTATATCGACGGCGGGAAATTATATGACAAGTCCAGGAAAATCAAATACCGGCGTCGAGTTTGTGTGTTGGGGGAGGGAGGGAGGGAGGGAGGCGGACTGCACGGTGGGACGCCTTTGCAGCAGAAGCAAAAGCGGCGACTGGGGGCCGCCTGGGCGTCTGAAGCACAGAAGGGTGGAGGCGGCCCAACAAGGGCCAGTTGCAGCTGCAGTGGGGAGTCTGCCGGGGAACTCACGCAAGGATGATGGGCACCAGACCGCCCATGTACGGAAATGTGTCCTGAGGTTCCAGCCACGTCACTGCACTGGATCCGCCGTACACGAAAGCAAAACCCAGCACGCCGCCGACTGCGGTGAGGCATGAAACGAGGGTAGAAATAGGCCTCAACATCAACAAGGGGGCGGGGAGGGGGAGAGGGGAGAGGGGATGGCAAGGAAAGGGGTTAGAGTGTCTCCTGTGTTCACTTAGCAACCGCAGTTCTACCCTGTAACGCATACATACATACATACATACATACATACATACATACATACATACATACATACATACATACATACATACATACATACATACATACATACATACATACATACAGGGCCGTACTACTTAGGTTCGTCTGTGCTGCAGAGTTGAGCTGCTTTGGGGAGGGACGAGGAGGGATTTTTGCCGTAGGGGCCAGGGTGAGAGGACTCCGGAGAGCCAGCCGTTAAGGTCTAGTAACGGTAAGGGAGAGGAGCCGTGCGGGCTACCCTCCTCCCCCTGCGGACTTTTGGAGGACATAGAGCTGTGTGCGTCGTGGCAGGGTTTTCTCTATCGCGGTTTTGTCTGGCAACCCCTGGCTTAGCAGTGGTTTTGGTCTGGTACGCTGTTTCTTTGACTGGGTGCATCTCCCCTGGACCAGCCCAGAGAGGGAGAGGTGGAGGAAGTCAGTGGTCTTAAGGTGGCTGCGAGAAGTCTTGTGGTTACTAGCTCTCTGTGCCTTCCCTTTTGGTGGCCATTATGTGTTTCGTGTTGCTGCGGCAGTTGACCTCCCCCGGCCGGGACGCCGCGCCGGTCTCCTCCCCTTAGGGTTTCTCTTTTGAGTGGGCGGAGTGGGAGGACTTCAGAGAGCCCCTGCCCTAACTGAGTCTTGTGGAGGTGTTCAGGCGGGACCGTCACGCCTTCCCCGGACAGAGGTGCTGCTGAACGGCTGCGTCGTGGGTTGGCAGTCTGAGCCGGTGTCGGGAGCACACAAGACTAACCGACTTGTGCTGTGTGCACCCGGCCCCCCGCGCTGTGTTTTGGCTTCGGCCCAAGGCTCTCGCAGCCCACAGTGTAATCTAAGTCATCCATCCATCCATCCATCCATACGTGAACGTGTTCCACCGCTTCGTTGCTGGACTAGCTCCGTGTGCTCGTGTGCCAACCCCTATCGGCGCACTTGCTTAAACATAAACTCAGAAGTCACTTGTGCTGTGTTGGTCACATGCGCACTATTTCTGACACATACACGCATATATAATATTTATTACTATATTCCTAATATATACATACATACATACATACATATATTATATTCGCATAGATACACACATACATATACATATACTCGGCACGACCATTGCCCCCGGGAGATCCCGGGATCGAGACCTGTCAGCGTCGAAAATCCTTCCGATGGTGGAGGGCAATGTGCCCCTAGCCGATGGACGCTGGTGACCTGGGATAAAGTGATCTTGCGAGCTAATCAGAAACGGAGTTGAGCTGCCGTCAATCCGGCAGATTCCGTTGGTGGGTGCGGAACCTGAGCGATCCACTGAGAAGTTGGCTAGGGTGACTGGATGAGGGTGCCCCGAAATACCGGGGAAGGCAGGGTTTCACAGGGTAGCTGCCAGGGGTGAAGATATACCCCCCGTTCCACACATCATATACTCGATAATAAGTTACAAACATACAGGCTCACTTGTGGAATGTGTGGTTGACACGGGCAAACTCAGGTACGTGGCCAGCAGCAGCCAGGCACCGGACGCCACCACCGCGCACAACATGCCGTACATGTAAATCTCTGGCTCAGAGTCGAACGCCGAAAGGCGGGCAATCCCCCCTGCCACTGTGAGCGTCACTTCCGTACCCTGCAGTACGTATGGCGAGACGGGGAACGATGGGGCCGGGAGGGAGGCACTTGGTGGAGAGAGAGGGGGGGACCGAGGGGGGGACCGAGGGGGAGAGCGAAGGGGAGAGTGAAGAGGGAGGCAATAAGCATCTGGCGGGCTGCGGAGGCGAATTTGGGTGCAGCCGTAGCCAGCTGCATTACGGGTCGGATCCATTTATGTTGCCATACTGTTGCACGGCATCCTAATACACGTAGAAACACCGGCGTGTCTAAAGCAGTAGACCAGGCCAACGGGTTGTTTCCTTGGATGTTGGTGATGTTGTACTGGGGGAAACCAACGGGGCTACCGACATTGACAAAGCCCCCAAACCTGACAAACAGAAACGCTTGCGACACGCAGCAATCGTGGCAACGGCCTGTCGTACGAACGTACAACCAGATAATTTGATTTCCAATTAGTGCGGACACCTTGCGATGGTACTTCCGCTAAAAATGCCAATGGAGGGACAGGTTGTTGTACTGCATGAAGATGTTGCGGCGGTATGGCCATCCGTTTTGAACATATCGGCGCAGGCTCGCAGTACGGCAACCTGCTGCCTGTTGCCAAAGGACGAGCTGGCTAGGGGCCCAGGGCCTTACGGTTGCTTAGGACTTACTAGGAGCACCGAGCCGCTGAATTCGCACACCGATGCAATGAGTAATGCTTGCCGCATCGTTAGAGTCCTAGCTGCCACACTACTGCCGAAGGCATTGGCTACATCGTTGGCACCTGCACGAGCGAAAATGAACGTGTTGTCCAATATGAGTAAGATGGGCAGGGTGACTCGTGAGAATGAGATAGGCATAGCAAGCCATGGCAAACCCTGCAACCCTTAGTTCTGTTTTTCAAGATTGCAGAGAATTAACCGAAACACGTAGCTGAGGGATAGGACGCCGGCACCTCAAAGCTGAAACTTCTGGGTCAAGGAGTGAACATGATTTATGTTTTCGGTTCAATTAATCATAATAGTCTCCCAAGAACTCGTTTATTAAATCCAGATGCCAGAATTCAATGCGCCTCACCAATGCCGAAAGCCTGCAAGCATTCGCAGACCCTCCTTAGCTCGTGTACATGCAAGCTCTATTGGCATTAAGTCCGTACCGTAAAGAAGGCGGCGAGTGAGCCAACAACAGCGATCCAGGTATAGTCAGTCCAATGCGCCATCGTGCCCTGCTACAAATCCCGGAAAATTTATTGCAAATTATCCATATGGAAATCTAACTGTTAGAGTTCACCACATCCAGCTTTCTACACGAAATCCATAAAACGTGCTCTTGGTGCAATACGGAAATGACTCTTGTCAAGTGGGTTATGGTTCTTTCCTCCGTACAGGTTATAAGTTTTATACCAGGTAAGACTGTTAATACATGATTCCACCGGGATTCCGTTATGAATTGTCCCGTACATATCGGCAAACGCTCCATATCAATGCACTTACCTTTCCAAGGTTGGAAACGAATTAAAGATCGGATTTTTAGTAATCCTGGCATTCAACTGCAGCTTATGCTCGTCGGCGCAAATAGCCGTACGAATGTACTGTTCAACCCCGCGTAATCTGCAAGGAAGCGCCTGTATCGATGGCAAATCTGAGCACGTATCCGTAGGCAGATGCAATTTCTTGAACCGTTTTCCGGCTATGAACCTGGGCCTCTCCCATACGGTGGTATGCATGTATGCATCAATCTCTATTCCCGTTCCCGGGCGACACGCTATGAACGTGGCTTTACTGCATTCTGCCGCATAATGCCTCGTCTCTGTACTTCCCGTCCGATATTGTAGCCCCAACAAGGCAAAGTGTCGCTTTTCAATCTTAGACAACCAGCAGTACGGTAGTTGGTTCGTTGGAGAGTTTGTTGGTTTAAAGTTGTCATCTCACCCCTGTCTCACCAAACATTGCATGGACGAGGAAGTATGCAGCGGAAAAGGTAAAGACGAAGCTGTGTGGACTGGGTGTTGATGGCGGGGGGAACAGAGGCCACGAGCCGCAAGGATTCCGTGCAGGCAAAACACCCAACCACCGGGGCCGGACCCTACCTGAAGTACACTTTTACAAGGAGAGGAGCTCCCTTGCGAACTGCCGTCTGCTCGGCAGCAAGGCGACAGCAATATCTTCCTTGCAGATGTCGTCCCCGCGAGGACGCCGCATCCTGGCATGTACACATCCACTTGGGAAATGGCAACAACAGCTCCCCAATTCGCGGTTTGAGTGAATCCTTTCCTCCCACGGCTACGAAACATACATGCACTTTACCCGACGGAGCCTCTGCCGTGCAGTGTGTAGCCATATGTCCGTTGCTGAGTTCAATGAGCAGGTGGAGGAGTCCCCACCCCGCGACATCCTACATGCACTAGTCCCACCCAAGTAAGCAACCCTACCAGGCAATTCGACAACATGGACAATAAAGCTGCAATCACCCCCACCACGACACAAGGTAATATCTTGAGTCTTCAACATACCCGCACACGCGGCACCGCGACAAGGACAACAGCATTAATAGCCCTCCTGCCGTACTGTGTTGCCCGTACTGTACTACTACCGTCCCAAGCCATCCGCGGCTCCACTCCAGCTGCTTCCAGCTTCTCATCTAAGCTCCCTACCTCCTGTCCCGTTCTGCACTAGCAGTTCCCACACACACGCTCCACTGCTTTGTGCAAGGCATCAGCTATTAAGGGCCCTTCTGCCTTCTCTGCTTCCCGTCCAAGCGCAGGAGCAGCCTTACCCTTGTTCGTGCTAGTGCCACAGCTCCAAGCCCCCCTGCAGCTGACCCTACCCCAGCCAGGAACGTGGCGCTGTCCGGCTGTACACCTACACACAATGGTCTTGTCGCGCTCTCCGTCCAGATCCCTGGGCGCCTCCGACACCCCGCTTGCTGCCGTCACATCCCATCACGTGAATTAACCCCCCCCCGCACTCAATCCGTCTGTCAGGCTACGGTAGTTCCCCTTAAGAGATTCAAGAACCCTTAGGAAGTCCTCCTTTTGTATCGCCGTACACAAACCCCCTTGCACGAAAGCCGTACAATGGCCCTAAGCCTCAACCCCTTGTAAAACCCCCTTTCCAAGCACCTTTCTCGCGCACTCCTGGCAAGGATTACTCCGCTGTACTATGTACACCGCCCCGACCCGCTGTTCGCTGTATCGGAAGATGTCCTTCGTGGGTGATGTGCGAGTTGAACGCACGAGTCCCGAAAGATGGCAACCGGAGAAACTCCCAAATCTAAAGGGATTGACAAGATGGAAAGAAAAGAAGAATCAGTAAAGAAAGGTTATTGTCTTCTGCAACCTACACTCGGAAAAGTTCGGTGCACAAGGAACCCCGAACAGCTCGAGAGTTAGAAGAAGCCGACGTCTTTGCTGTTGAAGTAGTCGTACGTCAGTACAGTGGCGCCCAGCACCACTGCCGCCGCGAGCTCCATTATGAGCGCTCCAATGGCAATCACCTGTGCGAGGAAAGGGCGGTGCTGCGTCAACCGCACCTCAACGAGGACACATAATGGTTCGGGGATAGCGTGCAAGTGACCGGAGGTGCTCAGGATGTATCCGACCGTGTGTTTACTAAGCACCCTAGGCAAGACCGAAGAAAGAGCAGGGGGAGGCAGCTGGGGGTCGCGGATGCTCAAGGGGGTGCGCAGGTGGGCGTGTGCCGCTAGCCGCCGCTCCTTAGCTCACCTGCGCATGCGCCAGGATGGCGGGGATGGCGATGGAGCCCACGGCCGAGAAACCCGTCAAAAATTTACCCGCATCCACCCACCTGCGGCAAATAACACCACCACCAACAACAAGGACACAACAATACCGGCAATACGAGCCAGGTCGCCGCCGTGGTATCTGGTATGAACATGCGAACAACGGACGCATCCATAACTACCTCGGGGGGGGACCTCCCATTGTTAACTTTGATGAAAGCGTGTGGGGGAGTTCCCGGCGGCCTCCAGGCCACCATCTCAAGGCCCAGTGACCCAGGCTGCAAACAGAGCTGCCGTGTCCCGCCACGCAGACATCCTCAAAAAAGGCACGAATCAATTCGCATTGATAACGCGTGCTCCCCCCCCGGTCCCCCCCTGCACACACCCGCTCTGAATGGTGCTGCCGTAGATGGCGTACCCTTCACCGCTTGAGCCGCCAAAGAACAGGTACGGCATGGGTACGAGGACGTACATAATGCCCACAAGCATTGGCCACCTGGACAAGCCATACAAGGGATAATCGTTTTCTGTTCTTCGTCTTTGGAGGTGCTGCTGGATGTACACTGGATGTAGATCAGGGGGCAGATGTCAAGCCCGGAGAGAGAGAGAGGTGGAAAGAGGGGGAGACGCCGGGCACCGCCTTGGCGCTGCTAGCCGAACTGCGGATTGGGCCACCGTTTCTACCGGAGGGCGGGCAGAGCTGCTAAGCTCTTTAAACTGCAGTTGCAAATGCCCCACGCCGGTTGCCCACCTACAACCCAAGTGTACTCCTTTGCATGTGTACTTGGTGCTATGTGTTGAAGACATAAAGGATATGCTTCCTGCCAGACCGACCTCCAGCACCTTTCCCTCACTCCTTCCCCTCATTCCTTCACTGCGGCGAGCGCCAATTGATAGTTGGCCGGCCCAGCTATAACTTGTCCTCGATTTCCTGACCCTGCTTGCGGAGGATCTAGGCTGCGTCTGAAGGCGCCATTATCGCTGTACCACTTGGCGCACCAAGGGAAAACCCATACCGTGCCATACCGTGGATTCACGTGGCATTGTGCCTTACCAGTTGTTGAAAAGAACGCAGCCCTGTAGTGTGAAAGTCAGCATGTTACATTTTGGCCGTCGTAGGTTCACACGTGACGAGGGACGCATCCTTGCATGGTCTACGTACCAGTAGCTGCAGGAGAGCCCCCGTGCTAAACATTATCGCCAGCACCATGATTACTGCGGTCGACAAAAGAATAGTTACGGTGGAACTAGCTCTGCACTGCGCGATTATTCACGCACCCCGTGAGTCCTGTATTGCCATCTTGCAAGATTTTTTAACAGTTAAGAAGATACATCAAGAAGTACCTATTACTGTATTACAGTGCCAAGCCACTTTAAGCTAGCTATGCTCAAGGTCCTTGAGTCCTGGACTGAAATTGCAGTATCAAGGAACATGCAAATTTGCAGGGGAAAATAGACACTCACGCAGGTCCTTATTCATGTCTGCCGGATGAGGGCAAGGTCAAGGTTCCCGATGCCCAACAACGGTCTCGGAACTGACTAAGTGCCGTACATTCACCTTTGACGACTGAGACTCGGAGTCGGCGAGCAGTCAGATCGGGAGTACATAACTGCAAAATTACCGAACTTCACCCGACTTGAACTCTCATGAACCTCTCATAGCTTAAATCCACGTAAGGTTGGGTACCTCGTTTGCGTGAGGATGCCAAGGAGTGACAAGGTAACTTTCATGCTGTCGCAAACCTTCTGCTGGTTCCCTCTGTAGGAGGGGCGTGAGGTTGTAGTCGGAAGGTTAAGGGTGAAGTGCCACATCCAAAAGCGCCACGTAGCTGCCGTGTAGACATGGCCCCATACCACAAACGTAGGCACGGACGTATGTTTCCTCGCCTGGTTCACTCCGTCCGTCTATTATGTCCAGCATTTGAATTGCTGCTCTGTCAGTTCCGCACCTCCCTCTAACCAGCCACCACAGTACATCATCCGATAAGAAGTATATGCATTTAAATGTATCTACTTCCCGTGCCAAGCCTATTGACGTATCGCTACCTTTTCCACAGGCAAGGAATTGCGGGCAAATGTGTGCATGAACACGTAAAGGACGTTTCTGCCAACCCAGCTGCCTATCTTGTGTCTTTGCTCGAATCCCCCTATACACAGATCTAAATATTTTATACACTGATTTTAAACCTCCAAAAACTTGAAGCGCGCTGAAAGTTAGCCAAAGTGCCTTCTCCGATCCGACTCCGACGTCTTTATTACAGTCGACCGTAGGGATACAAGACTGAACGCACCTTTCAATGAACAACCCAACCCTGCAGCCGTACAACAGGATACGTCATGGTGAGCGCAGCACGTCACAAACAGGTAACCTCAGCAACCCATCCTTCCGAAAACAACAGTAATGAAAACCATGGACATGCCGTAGAATGAGAAGGGAAACAAAGATTTCAAACAGCAAAGTAATACCTGTTCACTTTGTAAACCTATCCTTAACCTAACAACACCACGACGTGTTTGATCTTACCACCATTCAACACAGTAAAGAGCCGCAAATTCGTTTCGAAGGGAAATCGTTTGGAAGTTACTGTTGAAGCAGCCCGCTCGGGACATATTCCCCGACCTTCCTTCCGGCCCTAAACCGACCATAACTACACATGCGGCACAATGCGTGGGTTAGCGCAGTGGGCCCTATATCCACACATAGCTGGAAAAATTGCTGGAGGATGGCGACCAGTGTGTATTTGTTTCTTAGTTCAAGAAAGTTTCCCTGAGCCTAGGCCCGGCAGGGCCTGTATCCGTATCAAGGACATGGTTACACCTACTGCGGCACCTCTCCCTCAAAATCAAATGCCGACATACATTCCCAGCAGAAACGGAAGGACTATCATTGCTAATAAAGCACAGCAGGGCAGAGCAGTCAGCGGTCAGCTGAGCAAAACAAAACAAAAAACTGTTTTTAACTGTGGAAGTCCGTGGATCAGCCTGTAACATTAACGTCTTAAAAGTTTCTCCTTTCGTACATACAACAGTTTCCAAAGCAGCACCCGTATGCTGGTAGAAAGATAAGAACACTTCATATTTGCTACTTTACTTAAAAGCCACGTGTCAGTTTCCACAAGGGCAGCTGCGACACTCTCCAACCTCCAATCTCCAACCAGCACCAGCTTCACATCACCGCACTGTTTCGTCACTACTCTCGCCACCTCTGTGCACAGATTACATGGCAACGCACGGCATCGCACGGCATAGGTTTGCACGGTATGGCACGGCTCGGCTACATTATTACATCTTCCCAGCGATGGGCATGCTCGTCGGAGGCGTGGTGGTTCTGTGATTTGTTGCCGGAGTGTGAAGGTCGAACGAGAGCGCCTTAGGAATGCCGTTGAGCCCGTCATCCTGCAGGTGACATTTCCAATTTTACAAACAGTGCAGCAGCAATAGGATGCTGATGATTACGGTCCGCACATGTAAACATCGCCAAGCGAAGGATGGATAAAAGACTTTATCAGCAGCAAAATGCCGCAGGGCAGAAATCGAAAATATAGACACAACTAGCAGGCGGACTGAGCGCAGCATAGGGAGCACATGGCTCACACGAACACGACCTCATGCACAGCACTCCTCTCGTGCACAGCTGTCTCACCTTCAGGATTCGGACACGGTGCTCCACGTTTCGGAGTGCATGGTCGAAGGTGTGCTCAAAGCCCTTTAGGTTGTGCTGGTAGACGTGGGTGGCGGTGTTGATGGCCCAATCCGCCTGCAGGAGAACGAAAAGAGGACGGCCGGGATGTAGGTCGGCAGCACTCGCATCTGTATTAAGCCGCCATACCGGTGCAGGGGTAACGTGCAATTACGAACCTCTAAAACATAAAATATAGTTTCAGCCACATGAAAACACGTTTCAGTAGCGACCACCCAAACACTGTATTGGCCCGGCCGGTTAGTTATTAGTCGTTGCCACTGGTACTGAACTGTACGATCGGTCCAGAATTTGCTAGGGCGTTTCCAAAGTGCGAAAATGGTGAGACCATGAGCCTAAGGGTTCCCGGTGGAGGGAGACTGACTGGAAGCTGCAGCTTGAAAAGCCCCGAAACATTGGAAGGGGCCCCGAAATTTGTATCATGCCCGCAAAATCTGGTCCGGCCTTCCCCGAAATTCAAAGAGCACGTACAAATTTCAGAAAGTTTTTTGACCCCTCCCCGAACAAAGCGATCACGAACTATAAGTAGCACTACGGTAATACTTGAGAGCGTTAACGAGGGCGACAGCACGCATGCACACAGGCATGGCTTCCTAAGGCTCTAGCACGCACCTAGCGAGCCCGCCACCCAGCCTGCCACCCTCACGAACACCCACCGTCACGTCGGCGATGTGGAAGGCCTTGAACGTGGTGTCTTGCACGAAGTTGACGAGCGGCGTAACAAAGTTAAAGAAGCCGCGCTCCATGTCGGCCAAGTTGTCCTGCTTTGGCCGAGGGGGGAGCAGCGCGTGAGTGGGGACATCCGTGACTATACACGGGATGAAGCGCCTCCGGGATTCCGAAGGAGCCAGAAAGGGACGCGAGAAGCAGCTGCGAACGAGGGACGCGAGCAATCACCACGCACTTGCACTGAAAACTGAACCTGCTTGGAACAACTTCGGTGTATTCCTACACAATCCAACTTTAGGACGTTGTAAACTTAGGATAAAAGTGGGCATTTGGCAAGCGTATTTTGGGGGTTGTCCTGAACCTCCCAGTGATGGCAGGTGGGGCCCAACCACAAATAGACAATTCGGTGTACTTCAAGAAACAGAGCATGCATCAATGCGCGCGCAGGAAGAGCGCACACCATGACGCACCTAACCGTAAAACGCGGGACACGAGGCTCCCACCCACCCAAACCCACCTGCAGGTTCTGAGGCGCCAGGGAGCGAATCAGGAGCCACGGAGTGGAGGCCAGCCTGCGCAGGAGTATGCGCACAGCAGGCGGGTGGATGGGAAAGGGGAAGTACAAACACGGCGTATGCAGGGTGCAGCATGTGCGGGGACGGACGCATTTTTCCTTTGCATCCCATTCCTATTGGTAGTAGGCGCGCAGTTTGCGACTGTTACAGTTGACCCCGATCGGCACGCAGACAGCAGAAGAGCAAAGCACGTCGAAACACGCGGCTAATATGTACGAGAATGAGGTATAATGGCGCAGGTAAGGACTAAATTTTAAAGCAAATCCATGACCCTGTTCAGCGACCCACCAAGTAAGGAAGCTCGTGTAAGTGGCCAGAAGGCGCCACGGCCAGGAAAAGCGCTTCAATTTGGGGTAGGTGCGGTCATAGATGGGGCGGCGCACCGCCGACAGCACCTCTGTGACAGCCATGATACCACCAAAGTATTTCGAGCTGAAGAACGGCGCGACGACGACGATAGACGGAGGCTGCGACTTGCTGGATTGCTGCTATCGGAAGTAGTCGTTGTCCTCCGCTATCTGCAGATTTCTTTTGAGCGCGACGACAGTATTGCACAGATACCTGTAGACGCCTTCCGGCTGTATGTCCCTGCATGCAGACGGCGCGAGCTAAATCCTGCGGCTGGGTGCGGGCGTACGCGAGATGACTTCATTTGCACCGTACACCCTTAGGAATGACCTATGGGTCGCTTCGACAATCCAAAGCAACCCTCATGCAGCGCCTCGGACTTGCAAAATCGTTTCGGAGGTTTCTGCCGTCGGGGTAAACTGCCATGGACAGCTCTCAATATAGAACCTAACAGTCCGGATGAGAACTGAATATGTATGTATGTAGTACAATTTAGTTGCAAACCATCCATAAATTATGTGTGTTTAACATGTTGAGCTGCTACAGGTTACGGGAAAGTTGGGATTCTGTTGGGGCACATCACCCCTTCTTGCGAATTGTGTCAGGCAATTAGTTATGCTCATGGGAGCGGTCACCAATCGACGATTAGGTATCACCTTTTTTTATTCTCTTAATCGGAGGATTTTGAGGCTCAGGTCTCATCCAATAATGATTGTGGGTCCTGAGCCTTCCCTTTGGTCGCGCTTCAGGCTGTTTAATTGACTTGCGTTGTCTCATCTGGGTGGTACTCTAGTTTGTATATTAATTTCTAGTGCAGTGCACGGCCCGCTGGCCCGCTGGCTCTACTCTTCGTGAGTCTGGAGCCCACTGTAACAACCACACACACAGGCAAACAAAGGCTCGGTCTATGATGTCATGTGACTCCATATCGATCATCCGGCTTCAAGAGCACCGTACACTCGTGTAAGATGCAACAGTTCCTAAAGGTTGCCGGCAAGCCAACGGTAATGATAGTGAGGGAAATGCCCGGAGGTGCGCTGTTTTAGAGGCAGCCACAGGCACGTCTCTGTCATATAGGCGAATGAGTAATGAATCCTAAGCGTACGGCTCTGGTTCGCAGAGGCTGCCGTCCACGAGGACAGGCGCCAGGTAACGGCCACAACTCTGGCAGCGTAAGGGGAATCTGAAGGAAGGGGCTACATCTGGACAAGTGGAGAAGAGTCCAAAGGGGTGATGACTTTAGCCGTGCACCGATCCTCATTATCCAAGCAGGTCGGGCATTGATTATCACGAGTATACGTTAGGATTTATGGCAATAAATTATAATTAATATGTGCACCGTGGTTCATGATGGTGCATTTATGCCGCGCCTTAAACGACAAACGGTGAGGGAGGAGTTGCTTACGAACTTTAGAGCGCTCCCAGCACCTTTCCACCAAGACCTAGAGTTTCAAGGCCATATCATCCCGTTTGCAGCGATCTTACGATGGACGCACGCAACCAAGTTGCAGTCGAAATAGACGTAGTACAGTCTGTCACGCCTTTGCGAAGAAGCGGCAGCTGGATTGTAGTCCCGCGAAAAGACACGTTACGCCCATATATTAGGGGGTTGCGCTGTCCCCCCACTTTATTGCTTTGGAGATTTTCCGGATGCTGGGCACTTTATGGCCTTGGGGTTTTGGCTGAACCTGGTATGAAATCCCGTGGCCGGTTGAGGTTTCGCGTTTTTGATGCATAAGAGATCTTAAATGTAGCTACCATCGGCCATCGTGGTGGTGAAAGATGGCGCTTCTTTTACAGGTCGGATTTCGATAACTCGTGGTGACAGCCGGAACCTGCTAGTTGACGGTGGATGACGGCGTATCGCAGATGACTGGATGCCTGGCGTCACTTGTTGACGAAAATTTTTTACTTGTCTCCTGCAGCACATGTGCAACAAAATCATGAGGCAAATAAACGGCCCGAACATGAAGTGTTGCTTGCGAGGTGGCGCTAGGGACGCACCGTCACGATGCTAGGACGCATTGACTCAACGCATTGCGCCTTAACGCATGTGCGCCTAAACGCATGTGCGCTTAACAAGACCTAAAGCTGGGGATGTCACAAACGCCGCGGTTGATTGGCCCTTCCAAACCCCCCGTACGCAACACCAGCACTTTCATCAAAAGAAGATAGCATAACCCCTCGCCACCAGCGCTGCCACTTCTATAGGAGCTTGCCCATGGCACACATGCGCGTCCCGGTCTGACGCCTCCTGAGGGGGAAAGGACTCCAGCCATTTGGAGCTGCGTTACAACTTGTCTTCGCTCAGCTGTGCAAACAGGTGCTGCTGTTTCTCATAGTTGCGGCTCTTCGGGACGCATGTCGTTCATTGCCATCGGCCGGATTTAGAAAGCTCTCCAGAAAAAATTCTTCCGGCCTTGCAACACACGGAAACATTCCTGTGGCCGGGTGAGAACTTCACACGTGAAGACTCTGCAGGCCCGCATGTCGACAAGCCGTAATAATGGAGGTCGAGTCAGGTCCGGTTCGTGTAGGCTTGTTAACCGCTGCTCCGTCGCTCAGTGTACGTATTGGCCACTGCTGCCCTGTCTCACAAGTCTTCCCTTTCGCCCACGACACCATGCAAGTCTCTCGCATGCACGTGCATTGTCAATGCTACAGCCATGCTGCGTGACACTGCAAAAACACTAACAATTTACTGTATTGCAAAATGCCTGATGACTGGTACCTGGTGCCCTTCATTTTTATCGCCGATATATTTGCTTTCAACGTTGTTTAATGATCTGCCAAAACTCTGTACACGTTCACGTCACACAAAGCCACACACCTGCATGCGTATGATAGCCTACACTAGCTGGAAGCATGGCGTGCGGAGGGTGTCAGTGGAGGCTGCAGGTGGCCCATGCGTCCTGGAGGGCCTGCTGATCCGAGTGTGGGCTCTGCTACGTGCATGTGTGTACGTGCATGGCATGGAGGGAACCCCGCAGTTGGAGCACTACATAGCCCTCGCCGACCCGCCAGTGGCACACCCATCCTCCTACACGCCCAAAGCCGCTGCCCCCCATTCCTCTCCCAAGAGAGCAGCTCCCCAAGATGGTGGTGTCCATCCTCGCGTCCTGACGTGGGTGCATATGACCTAACACAACCGCCATCCTGCTGCGCCTTCCTGCTAGCTGCATTACTAATTAGCAAAGCTGCTCTCCCTCCGACTGGCGTGGCCCCCTGCTGCCCTCTAAATAAACCCCCTAGCAATCCAACTAGCACTGTCATTAGCACGTGTGCGCGCGCCTTCACTTCATGTCCGAGGGCTTACGGCTTTATCCCCAACAACGGAAACGTTTTAGTGGTCAAGTGATGGATGGAAAGCTGAGGGGCCCTATGCCTTCATGCTGGAGCTGTACCGCACCCGCACGCGCATGGGGCCGCGCAACCGTTTATCGTTGACCGTTAGGATGGTTCCGTCGTCTGGCACCAGGTCAGCCATTCGGCGCGACAGGTTAGGCGCCGTCTCGGCCTCGAAGACGCCGTGTGCGAAGAGGTTGGTGGCGCCGAAGCTGACTGAGGGTGCGGAAAGGTGCTTGCCTAGTGAGGGATCCGAGCGCAAGTGGTCGATAAACTGCGACAAATGTAAACGTAGGGTGGGGGGTTCGGGGTTGGAAGGTCAAGTGCCGTAACTTGCATGGCTAAACGCCGGGACTTGGATGGATTCCCCCCATCCCTCTCACCTGCTGCAGCGTGCAGTCCGGATCAACTTCAACGGGCACCCCAGCGCTGCAGATGGGGCAGTTGGGGTCCTTCTCGTACTTTGCCGTGTGAGTGTACAACCCCGTACTACCAACGTACCTGCAACAAGGTAACGAGCAGGCGGCAGGCAGAATTGTGGCCCAGGGACATGTGAACAGCACTCAGCCCATGAGCGGCGCGCGACAGTCGCTGGTGCAAAGCCGTGATGCGGCAAAACCAGACGCCGGGTAAGTATAGATGGAAGCCCGGTATTTCCGGTACTTGATAAAGCTATTATAAGGAATCTGGTGGGAAAGCCGGGATGCGAGGAAAAAGGGGTGTCATAGGTATCAAAGCCCATTGGAGAGATTTCCCTATCCCGCTTTTCAGCATTTGTGGTCAGGAAAGCATGCACTGCAAATGCTGGGCAGTTTCCCGGCCACAAAGGTTGGAGGGAGGCGGCCCATGAGGTCTTCACACATTACACCCCTCTGCCCGCCAGCTCTCCGCCCGACCCACATCATGTAGTTGTCCAGGCCTGTGGAGAAGCAGGTAAGCGTCTTGAGCGCCTCAAGCACACACTGGGCCGAGATGATGGCGTTCGTGGAGGCGATGGCGGGGATGATGTTCTTCACCACCCCTTGCGTCAGTTGGTAGGTAACTCCCTGTGTGTGTGTGTGTGTGCAGTGAGAGTGGGGACAAGCGGAAATGTTGGAGCTGGTGATTGTGGTGGCGAGGGAAAAGGGTGCAACGAGGCGCAGGAGCAAAAATCGTACACTCACGTGAATGCCGTACTGCTTCGCCCGCTCAGCCGCACGCTCGTACACCCACTTCATATGCTCCTCGCTGTCCGTGTCGAACTCCTCCCCCGGGCGAACCTGTTGTAACAAATGGATGGGAGTTGCCGCGGATTTCAGTGCTGAGCGTTGTCGGCGAAAAACATAACGCCCTAACTATGTTATACCATGACTCAGCACGTATCACACCGAAGACGACAGACGCGATGGCTTCCACCTCGTTGCCCTAGAACGGCCTAAGCTCCTGAACTGAGAATGGCCGCACCTCGCCCGAGAGCAAGGATCCTCCTCCTGCGGTTCCCAAACCGACCGAACCAGTGACCCATGGTTCATTCCGCACCCACCTGGCCCCACAGAATCAGGTGCGCGTACTCAATGCAGTGAGCTGCAGACCTGTGGCAGTTGTGTAGGCGGGTTAGGGCCCCAGGTGGAGGTGGAGGTGGAGGTGGAGGGAGCCGAGGGGAAAGTAAAATAGCGTCCTGGTGAGGCCACAGCACCCTTCTAGTTAGTGTCTCTTTTTACAGCTTTTTCCGGTTCACTGCTCCCATCAGAAAACACGAGGGTTTCGAGGACCTGCGCACTGACCACAGGCCTATAGCACCCGCCCGCTTTAATCCAACCACAAACGCCTCCCTAATTCCTATCGCCTTTCCTCTCCACCCTCTTGTCCCCAACTCCAACCAGGGCCTCCTGGCCCATCCCACAACCCCACGCTGGTGATGCCCTTGATGCCGCAAACCACATCCTCGTACACGTCACATCCTTGCCTCCACACCTCCACAAGGGGAATCATGAACACATACTTGTATGCCCCCGCGGCCCCCCTCACCTCGGTGTCTCCGCCAGGGTGCACAAAGGGAACTTGGTTTGCGGCGGAAACAGCCACAACGTGCACTCGAAGCAGGGCGTGTGGCCGGGCAGGATGACACGTGCATGGCCCTTGAAGCCCTCCGTGCCGCCGTCCACCATGGGCTTCACCGTGGACAGGTCGGGCTGCCCGGTGTCGTCGTACTCTGGACGCACACGGGACACAGCGCAACACCCACATCAGTCGCGGTCTCTGCAACGCGGCAACCTCAATGGCCAGGAGGGGAGGACCTAACCTCTGCACTGGGCTGCACAAACAACTCCGCATTCCCGTCCTGCTACAGCAGAGAGAGATGAGATGAGCTGTCCCGGGAACGGGAACTTGGTGGCCGGGCTCTCCAACCCACATCCTGAATCACCTCCGCATACCCCGCCCACCCACGGTTTGTGTGTGTGTCCCAAATATCTGCCTGCTTAGGCTCCGAGACCAGCCCTGATGGAGCTCTCCTACCTAGGAATCCACAGACGACTGAGTTCATGTACCGCCTCGCCTGCGAGGGGTCATGGAAGAGCAGGACAATCAATCGGCAGTGAGGAGCGGCTTCAGCCTACGATACTGTGTTGTGGCGCAATACCCCACCCCCCTTGTGACAGCAGAATGGGGGATGGAAAGGCTGCAAGACAACGGCCCTCCTCCAGCCTCGTCGGAGTTCAGCCTGCATGCATGCATGCATGCCTGCGAGCCCAATCGTGGATGCTGCGCTCAGGACACGGCATCCTTCCCTTCTCCACAAGCAGGGACGCCAACCACCCAAGGGAAGGGGCAGATAGAAGGTTTCCTTCAACAGAACTTAGCGGGCCTCACAAAACTAGCAAGGTCACGTGGCTTAGGCAACTTTCCGTCACCCCTGGCCCAGCCCTGCTCCACCTCTAAGGAGTCCAGCCCTAGGATGATGATGGCGAAAGAGCGGTACCAGTCCGCAGGCTGATCCTCAATGCGACCGAAGTGGGGCGTCACCCGGACACCCGGCACTCTGGCGTTGATGCGCTCCGCAGCTATTGTGGCTTTGGGCTGACCCACGTCCTTCATCCTGCAGGTGTGGTGGGGTAGGGTGGTATGCGGCCTCGAGAATGGGTGCGAGGGGTGCTACATGAGAGGATGAGGTGCAGTGACTTGAAGTGGGTGAAGTTTCGCTAGGGAAAGGAAAGGGTAGAGACAAAAGCGCTCGGGGCCGGAAACGGATGATGACCTGACAAGAAACGGGGCTGTGCGGAGTCACGCCGTGAGGTGGTGGGGATGAAGGGGTACCGAGTGGTAAGACCGGGGGATGGAGACGTTTGTCGCGGGCGCGAGGCGTCATGTTCGACTGCATCACGGCTCTTTCCCTCAAGTCAGGGCGCCTCCTTGAGGGATACTCAATCTTGCGGCCCTGAGCTGCGAAGTGCAGATCCCTACAGGGCGCAGGAATTTGGCAGGGTTTTTCACCATCCTCACCTAAACAGGAACTGTCGATTGAGATTAGAAACATCAATAGTGTCCATGTCGATGACATCTATGTGCACGACGCCTGACAGAGCCAGGTCCTTCAAGATCTCGCAGCCCAGGCCTCCAGCACCAACACACAAGATTCTACAGTCCGGGCTTTGCAGGAATGCTCTAAGCTCGGGGCATGGTTCGAAACCAGGACCAACAAGTCGGCCCGGTCGTGTAAGGAGAAGGTCAAGGTCACGCCAACGTTCTTCGTCATCCATTTGAATATCGTCCATTTAACTTTAAGATTTCCCTTATATACCGCTTTTAGTTGTCAATGATTTGTGTAGTCCAAGGAATGAATGAGCAAGAGTTTGCACAATACCAAATGAAAAAAACAGTGAAGGTAATTCACAGTTGTGAATACAGAAAGAGTAATAAGCAAAAATCTATTGTTGCGGTTAGATACCGCTGGTACAGACCCGGGGACGGGACACTTTGACATCGCATTATCCCTTGCTTTACGCATAGAATATCTATGTATCATGGAGAAACAATTTCTCCAGATATTTGAAAGCATTAACTCTAGGTGTTGGCAAATTGCTTTGTCGGTATCGCGACATCATGACTCAGTCAGTTCAGCATGTTAAGCACCGTGGCCATACTTACAGAATTTTACCAAATGTTAATAGGCAGAAGCAAATCTAACAATTCCGCTGCAGAATGGGTTTTGGAGAAAGAAAGGCACAGGGCCCTTTTGGCCGCCAGCGCGAGATCGGACGCCATGTGCACACGAGCATGCTCAACAATTGTGGTTGCACGATAGGACATGCGAAAAATTCACAGTTAGCTTGCATCTTGAAGACATCCTCATGGACTACGTCCCATGGCTGCTTTGAGTTCCCCAGCCGAACGGGTTTGGTCTTGCGTTTAGCTTGCTCCATGCATACGTCGATGCGACCACTGTTGAGCAGTGGCACCAGCGGATCTATAGCAGCTCAACCCACAGCGGGAAGGACGGCGAGACGATTGTTCCTTGCACCCAGCTCGTGCACTGCCTCTAGCACCTGTCCTCGCTTAACTCAAGTACTCAACCCAGATGTTGAGCTAACGCGGACGACTGCCAGTGCCGGCAACGTCTCAGCCTCCGCAAGCGATGCATCGACATCAGCAGTTCTCGCAGCCCAGGGCTTGGAACGCAGCTTTCAGTCAGGCACAGCCACGTGGCCTCAGGAAGTTCATTTTGCGCAGGACGGTGAACATTTCCTTAGACCTCGCGCTTCGGAGGCGGACGAGCCGCAGCCGGTCGCCTCCACCTCCGCTCCAAGCCGCGATTCGATACCCACCGCAACGCAGCAGCGAAGACGCCCTTGGGGGGTAACAGGTGCCGCAGCATCTGATGCTGCAGAACCAGCACCGTTGTCTGCATTGACAAACGCAACCAGCAAGGCGCAGGCAGGGGAATTACATAACACCCACCTCCGGCTTGATCCTACCCAACTTAACCGCATTCGGACTTCAGCCGGCCCCAAATCATCGCTAAATTCCCGGCAGCAACACACCTCCCTCAGTACGGGACCACGGACGTGGCCGGTGCGTACCCAACGACCGCGTCTTCGGCCCGCGCCGCCGCCCCTCTCGTGGCCAGACTACCCCTACACACGTTACCCTGTTTCATCGGCATGTAGTCCGTACGACACCGCGGGCTTGAAGCTCGAGGCACTGTTTCAGTGCGTCCTGCACTACCCCCGTGTGCCGCCAAAGCTACTCCGGTTCCTGCGTCGGGAGGTACCTGACGGACCCGCGGGTCGCTTGGCGGCGGTGACGGCCACAGTGGAGCGTCTGACGGATGCGGTGGGCCGCGAGGTGGCGGTGTACCTCATCCGCCGGAACTCTTGGGTGGTACTTGTCCCGGCGGACTGTGTGGCGCCGAGGATGGAGGCGCTGCGGCGGCTGCTGGGGCTGCCGCCGGGGGGCATTCCGGACATGCTGCGTAAGAATCCCAACCTGCTGCGAATGGAGGAAAGCACGTTGCGGGGTCGGTACGACGCGCTGCAAGACGCGCTGTACGACGCCGTCGGGTTTGATGAGCACAAGGTGCGCATCCATAGCGGCCGGGGGTTGGTTGAAGTGCTTTTTCCTTACGGGGTATGCCATCTTGGGTCGACCTCGCAATGCTGGACAAGCGCCCAGCCAGTGTGTTACCTGGAGGCTGAAGGGATAGAGGTGAGGGGATATAGCGTACGGAGCTCTGCATCGCTCGTACCACCTCCAGGTTACTGTAGTGATCTACTGCGGGTAGCACCACGGATTGGCGATTTCAATGAGGGGCTGGACGGCTGGCGGGATGGCCCTGGTGCTGATCTGGAGCCCTCCTGTTTCGTGTGTCCGCTTCCTTCCCATCCCTTTGACCTTGAGCGCAACTTTTGCTGCTGCTGCTGCTGCTGTTGCTGCTTTGACCTCAAATCGCAGCTCCGGGCGCTGATCCTCAAGTACCCCTTGATCCTGAACTTTAGGCATCAGTCCGTCCACAGCGCTTTAATGGTGGGTCTGTTGGGGTGGATTGTGATGAGGGTTACGTTGCAAGTGCTGCGTGCGATTTTGAACAAGTTTGCGAGTAGGTTCTGGGTTCGTAAGGGTGCAAGTGCGCTTCTTTGCATTGGAGCGTGTGGGCGGGTTGGGAAGAGGGCTGCGTGGGTGCTGTCCCGGTGCTGGTGGGATGCATCCTGCTGCGGGAAGTGATGACCACTGTTCCGAGGGCCTCACTCCGCGCTGTCAAGTGCTGTGACCAAGTGCCGGCCCGGGCCCCTCCCTAGGCCCCTCTCCCGCATTTCCCCTCCATGCATTTCATGTTCCTCTCTCCCTGCCTCCCGCTCCCCACCCGCTTTCTGTTCCTGCTCCCGCTCCCCCGCAGGCCCTGAGGGTCCTCTGCTCCGCACGTCCCGAATGGACCACCTTCTACCAGGTGCTGTCGCCCAGCCAGGTGGCCTTCTTCATTCGGGAGCGCGTCATTACGTTGCTGCGACTGGAGTACCTGCTGCTGACTGGCGGTGGCAATGGCTGGACGCTGCGGGACATCATGAAGATGTCCAATAACATGTTTAGAAAGTGGGTCGGTGCTGCGGTTGTGGTTAGGAGGGATAGAGCGAAAGGAACAGAATTTGGGTTTTCTGGTTGGGATTGGGTGGTAATCTTGGTTCAATCTTGGGGAGGAGAGGAGGAGGTGCTGTGAGGTATAAAGTAACACTGCAGGATGAAGAGAGATAGGGATGTTACGAATTAAAGGTGCATGTGGGCGGGAGAGCCGCTAATTACGACAATTTCCGGAGGAGCTTCTTGCTCGTCCTGTACGACAGCGCTGCAGTCAGCGGCGACCTACAAATTGCAGAAAGCTGTACCTTGCTGGAATATGAAATTATCTTTGTCAGCTGGTCTTGGTCCGCATAACTCGAAGGAAGGCTCCTCTTTGGTAGCTAAAATCTTGATTGCATTATTGAGTGGTGCACTGTGTGTCAGGATGCCTCCTCCCGTTTATAGAACTTAGGATTGCAGAGGAAAAAAACACGAACCCTCCGACTCCTGCAGGGCCTGTGGGGGATTTCGTTCCTGGATGCAAGAGCGGCTGCGGCGGCTGCGGCACCGATTGGCTGCTGCTCGTCAGGCGGTCGAGGCGAGGGCCGCCGCCCAGGGCCGCACGCTCAGCAGGGGGGAGCTGGAGAGGGTGGCCATGCAGGTGGGTGCGTACCTGGATGCGTGCGTGCGTGCGTGGGTGGGGTGCATTCGTTGCATTCGTGAGTTGGGAGAAGCTGTGCGGTAGGTGAGTCCCGGAAAGGGGACATGCAGACGAAAGGGCGGATTGTGAGCCGTAAGACAGAACTGGTTGATGAAGGGATTAGTGAAGAGCGGAGGTCACACAGAGTGCCACCTTGCGCCGGGGCCACAGGCGGTGCGTTGTGAGCTTTGCAACCGCACCTGGCATGCGATCCAAGTGATCTGTGACCCACATGCCATGGAAATGTTAAGAGGAGGTACTGATTGGGGAAACCTTCCCAGGTACAGCTGTCAGCTATTCCTCCCCGCGATTTGTGTTGTTTCTGGTTGCGCGTGGTGCCTATTGTACTACAGGTCCAGGCGCAGTGCGCGCGGGCTGAGCAAGAGCGCTTCCACCGGCAGTTTGTTGCGCGGCGGCAGGCGGAGCGACGGGACATGGAGAAGCGCATGGAGCAGCGGCAGCGAGCCATTGAGGAGAAGATGGGGCTGCTGAAGCAGGCAGGAGGACAGGCCGACGAGGAGGAGGATCAAGACCCGGAGGAGGAGGAGGAAGAGGAGGGGAATCCGCCGCCCCGGCAGTACGGAAAGCAGCGGCAACCGCGATTGGCTTCTGGCAATAGCAGCAGCAGCGGCGGAAGCGGTGCTGGAAGAAGTGGTGGGCCCAAGCGTACAGCTGCTCGTTACTTTGGGCCGTCGCAAGGAATGGGGGCAGCTGCTGCTGCTGCTGGCAAAGTTCCCTCTCCACTGCAGCAACCACAGGTGCCAGAGCAAGCGGGTGGCAGTGGTGGTGTACGGCAAGGTGTACGGCACCATGCAGCGGCACTGCCGACGCAGCAGCCTCCACCGGTGTCGCTCAGCAGCGCGGACCCGTTGTATCGGGTGACATTGGGCCATGTGTGGCAGCGGCCGGGCTCGAAAGTGGTCCCAGAGCCTCTGCCCAGTGGGCCGCTCGTCCAGCAGTTCTAGCATTAGCAAAGTGGTGAGATGCGTTCGCAGGAGTAACAAGGTCTGGAGTAGGGGGGACTCAGAAATGGCTCAGCATGTCGTGTTAGGGCTTCAGTGCACAGCCATGTGGCAAGTTTGGATGGTGGCGGCCTTTGGCAGTAGCAACAGCAGTAGCAACAGCAGTAGCAACAGCAGTAGCAACAGCAGTAGCAGCATCAGCAACAACTGCATTTGCATTCACACACTGTCGCATTGGATAGGTGTAATGAGGAATTGTTTTCACAGTTTCACCAGCTTGCCACGCCTTTCACCGTGAACTGATCTCCTGTAGTTGTAGTTATGGGTCCATACTACCTATTTAGCCGAGTTGCACTGCAGTTTGAGGTGTTCACAGTGGACCTCGATCAGGTCGAGTGCATCGCTTCAAGGAACGCCTCCCGCGCAGCACTGTGGGGCTTCTTCAAATAGGATTGCGCCAGGCCACCCAGCGCCCGTCGCAGCCAGCAGCACCGCAAATCCTCGCTCTGTAAACTGTTGACGCACTCCGCTGTGGAGCAGATGTGAAGCCGCTCTAGAACCCTCGGGCACCGGCAGGCAGCGGTGGGTCTCGACTTTGGTGGTCATGGAAAGCACTGTGATATATCATGTGATGAGACTTGGTATGGGACTTCTCGAACCGGTAACAACTCGGTTACTGTTGTGTGTGAGCAAAGGTTACAAGTATCTGACCGGGCCTGACACTGGCCAGGGGCTGGTGCCCAACTTTAACGGAAAGACCGCCTAAGCTCTCTCCCGCGGACGGGAGAAGGGCGCGAGGAGCCTCTGCCCCCATTAAGCAGCCGAGAGTCGCAGGTTCCCGGAGCGTGGGAGGCGTCGCACGCGCGCACACTCTCACGAGTCAAGGCTCCGTCATGCAAGTTGGCGCACTAAGCCTGAAACACGAAACAAGACTCCTCTCCGTCCCCGGTCTGTTTCTTGGGATAAGGATTCACTAAGACACAGGAAAACTGGAAACCCTGTACAGACCCTACCCCTCCCTACTAAGGCACGATTAGAAAGCTCGGTCTCTCACCCGATTCTCAGTTGCGGCAGGGTTCAAAAAACTCGCGCTAACCACATCTTGAGCGCACGCGACGAGGGGCGGGCATGTGTGTGTGTGTGTGTGTATGTATGTGTCGAAACCGAAAAGTGAACGATGGCTTGTGGGTGTGCATCCAACTATGTACGACATGGTTGCGACCTCGCGAGCACGTTGGCCTGGTAGCCAATGTAAATAGGCGGTCTTCTCCCGCCACGAGACTAGTTTGCGAATAGTTTGTACATCACTTACTTGATGTGCGCATGTGAGCACGTTTTACCGTCCTACACAACAAATTCTGCATCTTAAAACTTGAGTTGCTTTTTGGACATTATAGAAGCTGTAATCCAGTGTATATTGAGCATTTCGCACCTCATATGCAGTGCTGCTTGATGAAGCATTTGGGGATTTTCTTGGCATGAGAGATCGTTTGTCGTACCCTCGACGCACGTCGCACGTTATCGATCGCTCGCGAAGCGCTCCGACTACGAACAATTACACCATTAACAAATTGCATTCAAAGATCTTTGTTTTTGCTCACCTTGTGTGACATCACGTGTAGGTGCGGTGGATTTCGCCCCCGCATCAGGCATCCCGCTCACAATATTCCTTTTAGCCCTAAGGCACTCTCTCCATTATTGGGCTGTAGTAGGTGCTATAGCTTAGCTTAGCTGATCAGCGACGCGTACTCTGATATCGACTACTACAGTGCAGCCGCCTCTTGGCAAGCAATCCATGGCAAGTAAGTCGAAGGACATTCTGTGCGCGCGCACTGCGGAATCGCGTGCTTTCAGTTATTCAAATGTGTTATACTCTGCAGGGCTAACGATGATTGGGAGCTGACGCCTATTGGGTGTGGACGAGGAGGCAGCGCATCGCGGTGCCTTGCTGTGTAGGAGGAAGAACATCCGCGGCCATCCGTGGTGGGTGTGATGGTCGGGGCTAATTTGATTGGAATAATAAAAAAGTATCTATGGACATAGGTTCCTAGGCAGAGGGTTTTTGGGAGACATGTATAGCCTTTGTGGTGATCTAGCATCAAAGGCTTCTCGGGGATATGTCTGCATGCTCAACACCGGTGTTTAGGCATCCTATCCGTAGGTAATGGCACATAGAAAGGTTTAGGAAGCGTCCGGGAATTGGGGCATAGGTGTATGGCGGACGTTTTGGGTGGCTTTAGGGGAGATGTTAGAGTGGGAGGGGGTGGGGGGTGGGGGGCCACCGCCGTATCATCCTACCCTATATATCTTCTGCTGCCCCCAGCCAGCAGGCGAAAAGCCAGGGCACTGATATGCCCAAGACAACCCGTGTGGCTCGGCAGCCAAGGTGCACCGTGACCCGGCTGACCAGGGCGTGCAATGGTGCCTTCCAGGCCGCCAAGGTGAGAGGCGGGGGGGGGGGGGAAACAGGAAGAAAAAAAATAGCAAGGCTACACAATAGAAATATATTTATAGCAGTTATATAAATAAAACAGTGTTGCGCAGATGTTTTCCTGATCAACGAAAAACGGCGTTTTTGTGGGTTGTTGTTTGGAAGAGGACCGACCGACAGTATAGTAGTTGCATGCATTTCTATGTACGTTGGTTGTGCCTTGTCACCTCTCGTTTGCACATACATATATAGCTGTGCAAGTTTGGGGTGGTTGTATCCACAGCAGCTTGTTATGTATGAGTTTCTGCGCCGCCCAACAACAGGGGAAAGTCGCCAGTGATGGCGGCTCCGCTGTTGGACTTGGTTTCTCGGGTTCCTTGTGTGCCACAGACATGGCGAGGATCATCTGCGCAACGGCTCAGGCAGCTGGGTTTGGAAAAGAATCCATCTTTGTGGATGTGGGCTGCGGTCTTTGTGT